CTAGCTGCTGTTGCTATTTCTCTTAAAAGTTAGTTTTTTGATTCTAGATAAAAAGAAAGATTTTCTTTTTTTGCATAAATCTTATGGCATTCTTCTAACAAGACAAGTTTACTGCCCAGTCCTAATTATTACCTTCTAAATAACTTGGGCCAAATGATTATCATACATGATGATGTTGAGGTTTTTTTTTTCAGACATGGAGTCTATTGGCAAAAAGAAGTTTTTTTCATTGAAAACAGATGCAGCAAACTTCAGATGCTTGGCATCAGTTACCATATATCAAAGAGTGAGAGTAGGGTTTCTTTGCAGAGCTGCAGTTATGTACTCAACCATCTTTTCCCCATTATACGGGAAGTGTTTTAAATAACAGGCACAGCTATAGCTGCTTAAGGAACACTCCTGATGTTAAAAAAAGTATCTTACAGACATAACACTTACAATATCTCTCTGACTGTCCTTGTTGGTCGTTTGAGCTCAAGAGAAGACACAGATCCAAGCCACAAGATCAAGCCCTACTTAAGTGGCTTGACCTTGTGGCTTGGATCTGTGAGAACTATAGCAAATGTAGATAATCATAGTGGAACAAGAAATGAACAAGCAATGTTTGGATTGAGTAGCTTACAACTCCTTTAGGCAGAGGAATGCCTGAAATACCCTGAACAATTGCACAGAGCTGCTAGTAAGTATGAGTGGCAAAATAAAGTGCACCAACAGCAGAAGAAAGGAGAAAAAATACCCCAATCTAGGCCCCTCAAAGTTGGTTTAATATCAAGAGCTGACTCTTTCTGTCTCTCTTTTCCACACGCATGCACTCACTCTCTCTCTCACACACACACACACACACACACACACACACACACACACACACACACACACACTATAAGTAGTATAGCCTCAGACCTGGCAAGCAGTGCTCAAGCTCTTGGAGCAGCTTTCTCTCTAATTTAAAGTTGATTGCCGTGGGCCCTCTGTGTGTGACTAGTGAAATATGAGTGTGGAGAAGAGAGTATGAAGGCTTGGACTGAGTTAAGCTCTGTGTGCTGGTGATTTTGAAAGTGTGCATGCACAAGCATATTGGATGTCTGAGTTTGCCTATGTATATGTGCATGCATGAGTCTATGTCAAGGTCTAAGTGGAGCACACTGTAATGTGTATGTGTGTGTTAGTGCAGGGATTGGACTGCCAGTGGGAGCTGTCTGCAGGGAATCAGACTAAGCAGAAGACCAGTTGAATAACAGTATACCTTTCTTAAACCATAAAGAGGTGTTGGAAGGTGAGTTAAACTGAAATGAGCTGTAATGATCTTAATCATTGTATATGTGTAATTATCAAACTACACAAAGGGAATTCAGGGTTATATCCTTGCCTATGATCGGTTATGTGCATGTATTTGATTCATAATTTACTAGCAAATTACTCTAGAAGGTAGTCCCATCATTTTTCAGCAAAGACAATTCTCTTTGTGTTCCATAACATCACTGAGAAGTCACCTTAAGTGTTGCTCTAATAACTCTGATGAAAACAATAAATTGCAGGTAAGTGTACTACCCAAAACCGTGTTAAACTTTGTGTGTTTTTTTTTATTTTTTTATCTTGCAACCTGGAAGGCTCCAAAGGTACCAAACATGGAGATATCAGCCATGTTTGAATATGGAATTGCAACATTCTGGGAAATTTGAGCACTTTGATTTCCCTTCTCTTTTACTCCCCTTTGCCTCTGAGTCCAAAGAGCACATCTGTTCACTGAGTGCATTTCTTAATAACTTTTTAACAGGTTTTTATTTTTAGGGGGTGGGGTACAATTGTTTTTAGAGAAAAAAAAGCACTCCTTTTTATGAAAACAGAAGGCTTGGGATTCCATTGGTTGAAAAACTTCCTGAGGTTCAACAGCAAGGTGCCTGGTGTCTCTCCTTTTCCTTACACTGTGTGCATAAGGTTTCAAAGTGGTTAAGTGGTCAAGAGTAAGGAAGAGCTGATCTTACTGTACAGTCTCACAACAGTTGTTCTTTAATGTAAACGGAGTCTGGCAAGCAGGAGAACCATTTTTCCTAACCAAGACATCCAGCCAGTAAATGGAAATCCTTTTACTGCTGTAACCTACAAAGATACTGCAGGGAGCGGCCTTCACTCAGTTCAGACATTTACAGCAATAAAGCAGATCATGTAAACACTGTACACTGATAGACACATAATAATATAATAATAATAATAATAAAAAAGTTTATTTATATAGCGCTTTTCACAGACAAAGGTCACAAAGTGCTTTACATCAACAAAAAACAACAACAGCATACATACAATAAAAGAAGAAAAAAAAAATGAATACGTCATGGACGACATTATAAAATCCTGCTATAACCAGGAACAATTGGCACAATAAAACATAGATGAGTAGGTACACTGGGTGGACCTGATTACCCATAGGCCTGTCTGAATATTAACGTTTTTAATTGTTTTTTAAAAGACTCAACAGAGTCAGAAAGACGTAGCGAGGCGGGTAGAAAATTCCAGAGGATTGGTGCTATGGACTGAAACACACGATCCCCACGAGTCTTAAAATGTGTCTGCGGGACAGACAGCAGGTGTAGGGAGTTTGACCTTAGTGAACGGGTGGGTGAATACGGGTGAATGAGTTTTGATAGATAATCTGGGGCCTGACCGTGAATGGCTCTGAAGGTGAGAATGAGAATTTTAAACTTAATCCTATATGCCACAGGGAGCCAGTGTAGTGTTTTCAGTATGGGAGTGATGTGAGACCGTTTGTTTGACCTGGTGAGTAATCAAGCAGCAGCATTCTGGATTGACTGGAGACGGTTTAGGGCGGACGTGCTAAGTGAGGTGAAAAGAGCGTTACAATAATCGATACGAGATGAGACATGTCAGATATGTCCATACTATTCTGGTTGTAGGAGAATCCTTTGGACAATGAGAAAAAGTGTCCTCTTGCATGTTTACTGTCAGCCCATTGGAAAACATCTAGCTAACAGTTTGCTAGTCAGCTGTTTTACACCATTTTCATAAGCCCATGTAAATAGCTTGACAAGACTATTTAGCAAAAAGAAAACAACCACTGATAAAACTGCTGACTGTGATTTGGAAACTCATGTACAAAATGTAACACCCGTATTGTCAAATGAGAGGAAACGAAAACTACTCTTAGAGTCATAAAATGACCAACACACTAAATTGTGATTGGGCCAATCCCATTCAAAACAGCCATATTTGACCACCAAGCTACTACTACTGAACAAAGTAATAACATCTTAAGTAACTTCTGAGCATAATACAACAGATCAACCATAAACAGCCTGAATTTATATTTTCTGCTGCATGTCACAAGGCAGCAAAGAGGAAAGGCCTTTGCACACTTTAGTCTGTTTTCTTTTTTTGTCTGAAATTCCAGCACATGGATTCCATTCATGATTGACCAAGCTCATGTTGGGTCAATCAAGTTTGCAAACTGGTGGTCTTCTTTTAAATGTGTGGTTCCAGTATAGCTAGCAGGGGATCAAACTGGACTACTGACATTCTGAAATACACCTGGAGGCGACCAGGATAATTCTGCAGCTCCTTCAAAAACAGGTGAAACTCTCCTTTGCGCTTTTCTCGACGCATCCGGAAAAAAACAGACTCAATGTGCAAATGCTTAAAGAGTGTAAGAGCCACAATTCTCCTTTACAAATAGTTTTTTACTTTTGTATTAAATGATGTGCAAAAATAAATTTAACCTTATTCATAAAACACACACTATAGAGCCATCATTAAGCTCTGCTTATAAACAAGTAATTCATGGAGGTGTAACAGGCTAAAAGAGTGGTGAATATACCTAAAGTGCCATGAAGTTTGACTGATGATTTGTTTAAATCGTGGGAGACAATACTGAGCAACACGTAAAACACATTTTGAGCAAGAGAGCTTGCAGTCTTGTCTTTTACCACCTATCTTCCCTCTCCTCCTCCTGTGAAGCCCCCAGGCTTCTTCTTTCTGGTTGGTGTGTTTGCATTCCTGTTGAGCTCTATTTAAAGGCTTCATCACTCCACTGGCTGGAGGAATGCACATCTGTAGGGAGATCCAGTCCCACTGTCTCAGCCTCTTTCTGTCTGTCTGTCTGTCTGCACAGTATTTGTTTATAATAGGACTTATTACGCACCAACCTTAACTAATACAGGAGGAACTACAATTATGCTTATACATATACAAAAGCATAGAGAAGGATGACACTTGTGTTGTTTATCACATAAAAAATTGTATTGAATGACACGTGATTTTAGTGCTTTATCTTTACACAGTGAAGTGTGTTTCAGTGATTGAGTTTGAGGACTGAAAGCAAAACAAGTAATTAAAGGCTAATGCAACAATTGAGTTACTTTTGATGATTGCGGCTCTCTGTTGTAAGCCTACATTTCCTCTAGCCTACAAGGACAAATAAACAGTGTTGCATACACAAACACACAATCCTCACTCACAACAGTAGCCTATATCACTCTGCAAAAGTCTGAAAAAAATGGGATGTTTTATTTTTATTTTTCAATTTATTATATTTGACCATATATTCTAATAGCCTATATGTTTCAATAAAGTCTGATTTCTTCTTCTTTCTGACAAAGCCGGCTTTGTACTAAAACGTGTTTATTTAGCCTCATCATAACTTACATAGACATAAAAAAAACAAATTGGCCTACGTGATTTAACGTCATTCATTTAAGTGACATTCTTAGACATAGTATTATTAAGGCGAATTAATTTATTCAGGCAATATATTCAAAACCAATGTCAATGTGTTCAGGCTTCTACTTAGGCTAAAGAGAGACCAACACACAAGCTAGCAGCGTGACACATCCCCACTGTGAACAACATTGGAGTAGATTCCCCCCCTCCCGGTCCCTCCTGTCCCGCGTAGTGAGGCGGATCAACTTTTCGCCCCCCTACACGCAAACAGCCTCCTAGCCGCTAATTCACTCCGACCCGGTTCAAAAAAAGTTTCAACAACCAAAACTTACCTTGAAATATGTCCCCGAGTCAAACAGCCATTATTATGTTGTCGCCTTCCATGGTTGGTACTTTCTCGAGTTATTCTTCGGCTCCCCGGAGAGACTGGAGACAAGCTAGCGGGGTAAGAGAGCAACAAAGTCGGACAGGCAGAGAGGGAGGAGGGGGAGGGAGGATAGACAAGTCGGCTGACGCCTCGTTGGGTGAACCGACTGTCAATCACCTGGTTTAGGGGGCGGGTCCTAACTGTAAAGGATTATGGAGGCACTGATCCTAGTACTGAGGTCTAAGGAATGTGGCATGGAAAAATAGACACAGACAGGAATATGATGTGTTTTTTAATATTTACATCAGTTTTCATGTGAAATATTGCAGGAAACAGACATTACCAGTGTTTAGTTTTAGCTTATATGATGAATTGAATAGTTGAATTTAATATATAGATAGGCGATATATCAACATGAAATAGTATATTTTGTACCTAACCCCTGTCATTTCAGATAATCCAAATACCACCTTCAGACTTCACAATGAGTGTTTTAGTATGAGGAGGAAAAGGGGGTAAAAATTAAAGTTAAAATTAATACAAAAAAACCTAACTTGTTTATTCATCTAAAGAAACAAGTTAGGCTTGTGTTAACAGTGTGTTAACAGTGTTGTTCCCTGATACATTCTGTATACAAGTGAAACAAGTTCATTTCAGGGTTTTCTCAGTTTCCAGATTGCTTGTGAATCCTCTCAATGAATCAGCATGCAATGTAGAATATTTATTTATTATATAATATACCTGATACTTAATGGGCAGAAACACATTAAATCCATTAATTGTTCCAGTGCTCTTTGAATTGGCAGAAAATAAATTGGTTGACAGCGACAGCTCATTAACCAAGGTAGTGACCTTTTCTACTCCCTGAAATAGATGTGACACAGTCTGAAACACCTCCACTGCCTCAAAACTACCCAACAGTCAAATTAACACCTCTCTGGTACATTTCAACAGAAACAATCTGAAGGCTCCACAAAGGCCAAATCTACTGAATTGGTCTTTTACATTTTTATCAGTATTCAGTATCGGCTTAACTTTACTGTCTGTCTTTGTCTTTGTTTTCTCAGTGTTGAACTCTTTTTCATATTTGTTTTGTACATACCCTTCAAAGGTATAGACTTTAAAATAACCAAGTTATAGCAATAAGCGTTTCATATATATACTGTATATGTCTGGTTCTGAGTGTTGTTAATTCAAATCTTCAGTCATGATGCCTGTAGTTTGTAGTGGTGCTGGACTGGACTAAATCTGCTCCTTGTCAGTAATCTTCCACCTCTCTTATCATTGTTCTCACACATCATGTTTCTGGGCTTTTTATAAACAATTGTTGTTCTGCATATTGCAGAAGAATTCCCAGGAAGGAAAGTATCTTCCTCTTCACTACTGTTATCATAGTAACAATTTGTAATGCTTGTAAACTGTAGATTGTCTATCTATGATATTGCATTGTATTTTGGTCATGTTTTCTGGCCTGATAAATTCCTGAACAGACTAGTTAATGTACTGCATAAAGGAAAGAAAATCACATAAATTATTTATAAAGCAAATGTGTCTTCTTGAATAAAAGATTGGCTGAGCGATGCAGTGACTGTGACTGCGTCTCAGTCACCACACTTAAAGACTCACTGAGTCTTTCCCAGTTAGTGTTAAGTGCTGTCCCTCTGTGAAATCCTCAAGTTTGTTACAGCTCTGATGTGGACTTTTCAACTGCAAATTATTCACATTTCAAGATTCTACATTTCTTCAGACTTGTGTTCATGGCGGCTTGTGGGACATGATCGACTCTAGCGTGATAGTTAACCCCCAAATTAGAAAAATTCTCATTTACTGAAGATGTAAAAGAGAAAAAAAAAACGTAATGTCGACTTTGCAAACAAGCATAGCTGTGTCATGAAAACGTAAACAAGTTGAACTGACAACATGTATCCTAGTATTTTACTTTTGTGTTTATTTATAGTATTTGAAGAGTTGTTTGTATTTTCAGCAAAATATTCACAACATATTAATATTTATGCCCTTTGATAGAGGGCTAAAACAGAAAATCACCGTGATGAAATAAATACAAATACATACAAGAGGTGGGATCTTTATTTTTTATTATATAATGGTGTATCTTGTTTCCAGGCAACATGTGATGTCATGATAGTATGTCCCATTCTTACATTTTTTTATACCATGTTAAGCCTTCAAGGACTAACACACTGCACACCTGTCAATCAAAGTCTGTGAGGGTTCAGTGTTTAGGATGTAGGGTGGATATTGGGATTGGGCCTACAAGAAAATTGTACTTACAATTATCACACTTTGAATAGGACATGTGCTTAATTTACCAGACCTGAGTATTGTTGAAAGTTAGATTAACTGCTCAGACAGCTTAGATCGTATCATTACATCCCAGTTTATTAGTTTTGACATGAAAATGCTAAAGGTTTGCCCAAACAACCTGTTGCATTTAGTGAGAAGGATGTTGCTTCCCCCTGCTGTGTAATCATATTCATTACATATAGAAGTTGACACAGATGGCAGGAGAATGGACTTACATTGTATACAGCAACAGCTTAGCAGGATCAGGCAGGAAATCACCAAGCATGCATTCTCGTGCTTTAAAATATGAATACAAAACACCAGAGAAGATTTGTTTGCAGTTCAGTAAAACCGTCCACAACCTTTGTAGAAGGACATTGAAAGTTTTTGGATTCTTTTCTGGTTTCTTGAATGTTTTCCTTCATAAATATTTTTTCAAATCATTTTGTAAAGCTTTTATAATCAAAATGTGTGTGTTGAGGGGCAGACCCAGGGACCCCGGCTGCTGCATATCTAAATGAACAACCGTGCATTCTTCTTTATTTTCTACTGGCAGCTTTGTACAGGGAAAAAAAATAAAGGATAAAAAAAGACATGCACATCCCTCAGTGGGTACTTGAGCCAAATAACACAAAAAGTTAAAGAGCAGCAAAACCAGCTCAGTCCATTAATCAGCTCCTGTTTGAAGGATTTATTAACAAGTGATGTTTGGAGCATGCTCTTCCTCAGACAGAGCATGTTTGCTCCAAACATCACTTGTTAATAAATCCTTCAAATGGGAGCTGATTGGTGTGGGGATCTTGTTTTGCTTCTCTTGTACAGGACACAAGGGTTGATCTCCAAATGTTTTCCTACTCATGTTTGGGTCTAGGAAGTTGATATGAGATTGTATGAAAGAGGCATTGCTTGGTGTCTTGATGATATATGAGAAACAGGGCCGCCTACAGTTTGTAAAAAATACAAAATAAAAGAGACATGGTCAGTTGTTTGTCATTGGAAGATGGATAATTAATATATAGGTAAAATGCCTGCTGTGTAAAAGGGCTGGGGGTATTGCAATTTAACAGACGTCCGTCTCCTAGTCTTGTTTTAAAACTTCTGTTTGGATTCTGATGTCTTAAAACTGGTGGTTTGCTGTCTGAGTTAACACGGGGTATAGCCTTTGATTTGTTGTCTTTTTGTCTTTTAACAGCGAGGGGGTGGAATTAGGGGTGTGGTATATCATTTATTGAAGGGGTGTGGTCTGTTTTTAATATTAAAATGAGGTGCGGCCTGTGCTTTAAAGTTCAGGGAGAGGTCTAAAGAGGGTATATGCTTTTTTTCATTCAGGATAGTTGCTTGTTAACTGAAGGGCTGTGGACTGTGGTCTTTTGCGTGGTCTGATTTATATGATGAAAAGACGGGACGGGGTGTGGCTTGATTTGGGGAGTTTGTGATGTTGAGGCATGATTCCAAAACCACAAACCCCAGAGTACATGGTCTCCTTAAAGCAAGTTATATACGTATGTGTTGTAATCTGAGGTTTGTGAATGTGCAGAGGGGCGAGGTCTGATGGGACGTGGCCCTGTGTGTTCTTTTTTTTTTTGACAAGCTGGGCTGGGCTTTAGGCTCGTAAACATTAACTCAACATGCTTAGCTTGTAATTTATTTGAGGGGTCATTTGACCCAGCAGCTGGGTACACTTGATCAAACCAATTGCCTGAAACAGATTTCTTAGTATGTGTGAACTTCTAGAGTGGCAGTGGGAAATATTTAATCTATGAAAGATTTAGCTTCAAAAGCCACCCTTTTACTGCTTGTTCTCTGTGGATGATAGAGATTCTCAGCTGAGGAAAGATGTGCATGATTATTAGTTGAACTGTAAAGTTAGTAATGCAACTGAACACAGCCTTGATGTTACAGCAAGACAAACTTAACATCACACAAACACAAATGAATATGTTTGTCTTTACATTTTCTCCTCTTGTTTTCTGTTTGATTCCAGCGATGTGAAACTTACTCACAATCTCTCACAGCAGTCTACAGTGGATTAAATGATTTGTACTTGGTCATGAATTACTGGTTTTGCAGCTACAAGGAAGATTACAGAATTGTCTCGGTACTTACCTCATTTTACATTTATTAAAGCATTATTTTAATTTGATTTGACCAAATTCCAAGTAATTTTAATGTATTAAGGAACAATGTCCACTTCAGATGACTTCACCAAATTGTTGTAATCATGTGTTATTTTAGACATTAGGGGAAGTTTCAGAACAGGCCACCATTAATCATCTGCTGCTCTTTCTCTCATCATTGGCAGCTGTCTCTTTCATTTGCTTTCTGTCTCCATCATCGGCTGCTGTCTTTGTATTCTTATCCTTGTGGGCGGATATAGCTCCTCGTGGGCGGCTGTTGGTAGAGTCGTCACCTCGTAACCAGAAGGTCAAGGGTTCCATCCCCAGCTGGGCAACATGTCTGATGTGTCCTTGGACAAGACACTTAACCCTGAATTGCTGTATATGAATGTGATTAGTTACTTCTGATGGATGATACTACATAACAATCATACCATCAGTGTGTGAATGGGTGGGTGTGACCTGTGGTGTAAAAGTGCTTAGAATAGTCAGAAGACTAGAAAAGTGCTATATAAGCTCAAGTCAATTTACCACAATAATGGAGCACTAATTGAACAGCTTTAACAAAAATCATGATGTCACTGATGAACAGGATATCTCTTCTTGGAATAATGGAACTGAGTGTCAGACCTTTTATGAATGGTGTGACTTGAGGTGTAAAAGTAGTCAGAAGTATAGAAAAGCGTTATAGGCTCAATTCTCTTTACCGTTTAGCTTACATTTGCCAAATAGCCAAAAGGCTCCTCATATGAATGCAAATGTTGCACTCTATCAGATAGTCAACTGTTAGCCATTTCAGAGGTCTTAGTCATTATCCATTGCATGGATTCTTTTGTGATGATAAGAGGAAAATTTAACAGACAAGACAGACAAGGTTATTTCCTAGTGGTGCTTATTATTTTGTGATTTAAAAAAACATGTATTTATTTTAAGTTTTACACTAAAATACAACCACCAAACAATAATCTTTACAGCTTGCAGCATGTGATTGTTGCCATGCATAGTGCACAGGGATGTTGAGATGGAATAATAAAACAGTGATGAAATGATGAAGTTGAAGATTTACACCGAATGTCACACCTACCCATTCACACACTGATGGCAGAGGCTGCTATGTAAAGTGGCCATCAGTACACAATTTGCTCTGTGTGAGCTAGGTGTCTTGACACATCCAACATGTTAGCTTTCTATAACATGCCAGTTAAATGGAGAAAACAATATAAATGGACATATCAACCTGTGGAGGAGTCCACAGCAGTATGAAAACTCAAACAGAGGTGAATTTAATTTTTAGATACATATTTCATATTTTTTAGTTGAAATATGGCATTTCTTTAAAATATGACCTGTGAGTGAATATAATACATGATACCCATGTATATATAAAAAAAAGTAATAGTAATAAAAAATGTAACAATGATGTACATATGTTTTATTTTTTATTTTTAACTTCTTGTTATTTTTGATAATTATATTCCTGTTTCCTGTTTCTTGAGCTGTTGTGACAAAAAATGTCCCCCATGGGGGATAAATAAAGTTTATCTTTATCTTTATCTTTGTCTTTATCTTAAACTGAGCAAACAACCCTCTCATTGCTGTGATGTTTGGAGAGTGTGAGTACATCCAGGAAAATCAATTCTGCTCACAGTGAAGCCCAGCGTTGTCATATTACAACGTTGTGAAAAACTCACACAAACCAAAAGAAAAAAAGGGTTAAACTCTTCAATTCCTGCATCAGGGGCTTCATACAGCAACCAATCTATATGTGGGTCACAAAGGGTTAAGAACTTAAGGCAGTTATATGTCAGGGCTGCCTGCCAGCTTGTTGTGGAGGTATTTCGCTCTCCAGTGTCCCAAACAATCCATTTCTTGGCAGTAAATTGTGATTTCAGGTCAATGCATTTTCCCACGAGTAAATGATACAAAAACAGCATCTTTGAGAATGTTAGGTAAGGCTGATTCATCCAGCTTTTGAAGCCTTATGGCTGAAAGTATATCACAATTGATACATAAATGATAATTTCACTTTGCTGCTGATATAGCATCCTCAAAAGTAGTCAGCTGTAGACGAGTGAAGGCCAACAACACAAACAAAGCCAGTTCATCTCTTCCACTTGCTGACGCATTTCATTTATTCATTGCTATCAGAATAATACAAACACTCCATCACATGATAACAAATGTTCTAGGCAGGATGTTGATGTAGCCAGAACGTGGTGTGTGGTGTGCTTTGGATTGTGCACTGATTCACCACATGTTTCACCAGCAGAATTTGAGTCATATATCCACAAAAGTGCCATGCATGCTCATTTGAAAGAATCGACCAAAAGCAATTGAACACATCACACCAACAGGCTACACAGCCACAAAATGCATTTGAATACAGCCGCACAAAGAACACAAGAGCACACACTCAATGGCACATGATGTGACACACCCCTTCACCAACCCTCCCTCCTAGTCATACGCACGGCCCGTCACACACTCCCTAAAGCTGCTGATGGTTGTTAAATCCCTGCATGATGTTGATGCCAGGCAGTTGTGGGTATGGTCTTCACTGACTCACTAACAGAGCTTAAATGCTGAACTGCCACTGCCATTCACCAACAACAGCAAGCCTGTTTCTCTGACTCACTTTATTTTCCCCAGTCTGACTCGCTGTTGCTCCTGCATTCAAAGGTGAGGGCTCATTTTTGAAATATCTAAAAGCTAAATAGTTGTAATGTTGTTTCTGCCTTTGTAGCCTTAACTTTAAATACCATTTTGTTTTTAAATTTTCTGGCTCTGTAGCAGACTTTTAGGGATACCTTTTAATAACTTTTTGTCTTTCTCTTTTTGTGTGCTGTCTTTGTGGACATAGACTCCGTCAACTTGCTCCCAAACTCTGAAGAACGGCTTTGACTTTTTGGCAGGAGGTGCTGCTCAAGTAAAAAGCTCTACACGTCTGAAGTCTTTTTTTCTGGAGAATTATCTTCCACCAGTCCCTTGTGGGGAAATGTCTCTCCTATTGTCAGTGCTGATATGTCTGACAGTGGTACAGATGAGCATGGGAGATCTGCCAGTGGACGAAGTCATCACAACAAGTAAGTACTGATGTGGATAAGAATAGACGTGCAGCGTCACAGAGACTCAAATGAGATTATAGACAAATATGAAAGGGTAGAAAAACTGGCCAGATGTGTTTGTGACTCTTTTCCTCTGGTGACATGTTTAAATATTAAGACAACATGTGGTTACTGACTAGTATGGGCCGTTTACAAAATGCATGTGCAAAGTTAAAAGCAAAGATGGACAGGATAGTTATCTGAAGCTCTACATACCAGGTGTAACTTACACTAACCCTGACTAACCACATACCATACTTCTTTTCATTCAGGTATCTCTACTCAAACAGATGTTGTGTAACGTTGCTACTGACTTTATCAACTCCTAGCTGTATAAGATTATACTATGTTGTGCTTAAATGAACGTTTTTTGTGGTGTCAGCTCTCAACAAAAAGATTGTGAGAGTCCTTTTCTCAGAATCTCTTAAATTAAACGTCCTATTCTGGACACAGTCTTTGAAAGAAAATAGAAACATACTGTCATAGGTTGAATGAAGGGACAATGATGAAAGCACTCCAGGGAATATGAGTAAGAATGACGACTAACAATCTAACTAAACAAAATATTGGTAGCTCTGCCAATTTGACAGTGTGCATTCATTTGCCTTTTCCAACTCTAACAAAGGTAAAAAATAATCAGTGTGTTTGTAACAGAGAAACCATAGCATCATATAGAAATAAAAGTGTTCAACTTAAAGTTAGTTTATGAACTTCTAATCTTTAATTATAATAGATTCAAGTTCAGTAATGATCACAAACATTAAATAAAGAACATATGACTGAGTGCATGTTTCAACTGAGAGCCTGTTTGACACAGTGGAAAAAGAAGTGTTGCAAATATGTCCTCAGTCTGTAGACAGGTTTTCTGCTGCCGTCTGGTTGGGTAGAGTGAGTCAGAAAGTTTGGCTCATCCAGCAGTCAGAGAAAGTCTTTAATGGTCAGATGCTATTTAACTCAGCAGAAGGGAGTTTTTTTTTAAGTGTACAGGGAAAAAAAACAAAAAAAACAGTCAGTCAGTGTCCCTCATCACAAATTCAGAAAATTTGTCAAAAAATAGTTTGTTTAAACTGAGCAAAGCAACCTTCTTGTTGGTTTGGATCAGTACACTGTATTTTAAACATCCAAGATGATAAAACCTGCATCCAGTACTACAGTCAATTCTGTGTGAAGTATGAAGTACACATAAATGGATGTGGTAAATGTTTAAAGGGCTTCAGAGGCAGACTCAACAGACCAACAATTGATTAAAATTTACATCGTTAATGTTGCTGCCAAAAGAGCGCTGAGTATACTTCAATTGCAAGTTCTATGTCATAAAAATACTTTCCCCCATGGTCAAAATCGTGTATGTATCCAATGGAGGAGATTCATTTCAGCAATTAATAGAAGTTAATTTAAAAGTGATTGACATCACGATCCATGATCATGCTAGAGAAAAAGTTAAAACAGTTTTAACAAAGTTGGTAAGAGGCAAAGCCATGGGAAAAAATCATTTCTGGCCAAAAAGTCTTGCTAATACAAAAAGTTTAGACTCAACTGGCCCTCCCAATGGTTCAATCACTGCAACACTTCTCCTTCTCTTTCTCTGAGTAAACCTGTGTTCTATATATCCTTCTTGTGATGAATGAGGCTTTCCCTGGCAGAGATCAACAAGTGTTAGCACGAACTGGCTGGAGTCCATGATTTGGTGGTCTAATAGTTTCCAAGCTCTTGAGCGATGTTCTGGACTGAAACAACACATTTTCAGGATGAAGTAGCATGAGACTCCCAAAGGGATCACCCACAGTAAAAACACTTTGCAGCTGGCTGTGTGCACATGTAAAACTGTTCTCAGAGGACGTGTATTGTAAAAATGTTTCCATTGCCATTATCAGTTGAGTGAAATTGACCTCACGTCTGTGATTAATTCCCACATAGAAAAAGTTCCTCTTCTGGGTGGCTGGTCTGAAAGGAGTCCGGAGGCAGACGAGATTTTGGAGGTGGCTCGTCATGCCGTGGAGGAGTTCAACACGAACTCAAAGAGCAAGAAGATGTTCAAACTGGTCTCCATCACCTCTGCTCAGAGCCAGGTTACAATCATTTTTCAGACACAAAGGAAACCTACATGTCAAACATCTGGTCACCTTTTAATCCTTTGATTGTGTCACCAAACGTTAGGTGACCAATGTGATCAACTTCAAGATTGATGCAGTCCTGGGAAAAACCAAATGTCTCAAATCTGAAAACCCCGACATGAACAGCTGCAGTCTTGTGAAAAAGGTATGTGAAGAAATGTTATGATAGACTCAATGCTTTAAGATAATATAGATAAATATTCAGAATCAGTTAAATGTTGTGTGCTCAACATGTCAGTTAGATTTCAGACAATATGATATTATTTTGTTTCTCTCTCCACAGCATATGAAATGCTACTTCGAGGTGACCTTTGACCCCCGCAACAACAAACATGAGATTCAGATGAAGAAGTGCAGGAGACAGACGGAGAGTGCTTAGCTTTACTTATTGTAAGCTTTAACCACCTTGATACAATGTTTATTTTCCCCCCTGAATAAATGTTTTTCAGCTTACTTAAAATACTGGATGTTTAGTATGATAGGTTTAATAGTGAACAACATCTTATTACAAAAGTAGCTTGGAATCAGTTATCAAGGGTGAATTGACTTGTATTACCAGTGCTAACTATCAGAATAAAAGTTATTATCATTTATATTTGTGCTTTGTATTTATATTGTTCTATAGCATTATATCTATTATCTACGAGTTTTAGGCAATACGTAGGTCATGACCGAATGGACTTATAACATTTTTTTTTTATTGAAGTGGCAGGATCTGTACATGAAGGAAACAGTAATATGATGATTCACATTGTCACTCAGTGGGTTCTGGAGATATGCTATATTCTAAAGGCAGTTGTCTTCATTTCCTCTCAAATGTCTGAAAAAGAGATAAGCGATGAGTCAGCACAAAGAAGTGAGTCTGAGTATATCTTAAGTTGTACTTTCAGAGCAAACAAGTTAAAACGTTTCAGTCCTTCTTTGATATTTGAATAAAAACATGTTTCCTTTATTGAAATCATTTTGAATGATGTTATAGAAAACTTTTGCACATGCTCTGTCTCCAGAAATGTCTTCCATTGAATAACACAAAAGGAACAGTTAGTATGTAGTAGCCTATATGCATTTTTAGGGAAGGTAGGGCATCATGCAGTCTCTTATACTCACTGCAATTGTACAAATTATTGATCCTGAGTATATCAATATCAGACATCTCATCCCTCTGTCCAATCAGCACTGAGGAATCTGGAATGGGAGTAATGGTATCTGCGCCATACACTGAAGCGAAGGCAGTTCTACAGAAAAATAACAAATAAAAGAAATGAAATCACATGATATAACCATGTTTTTTTGTATTTATCCCTTTAGTTAACTGGAACATTTAAAATGATAATGCTACAGTAAAATAAGTCACATGAGCTTTAATGTTTATCCTCCTATCATGAGCAAAGAAGACAACATCTGTAAACCAGATGACTGAATTAAAGCTCCACTATTCATTGTTTTGTATCGTTATATTATCTCGATGAGTCTATCAAGAACGATCTCTGGAAAAAGGATAGCCACCAAAAAAAGGGAACAAAAGAACTGATTTAAACAGGTTTTACACTAACACACTTCATGATACAATAAGACAGCTCAATAGTACCATGAATAAAGTGAGACCATACCTTCCATAGGGCATGACAGAAGAATAGTCATAGGGCGTGTTCAAGTTGTTGGTGTCCTTTTTGTGGAAGTTGTGAGCACTTACTGTACATACACAAAGAGAGTAGTAGATTAGTACCTTCGAGTGGTCAGAGGACTGGAAAAGTAATATACAAGTTCAGTGCAATTACTTTGTTTTCCATTTTATTTGTTATAAAATGAAGGGGCTCAGATGGTATAGCAGTTAGGTCGTGCCCCATATAAAGAGAAAAAAAAATCTCCAAGTAGATGCGGGTTAGAGTCCGACCTTAGGGCTGTCATTCCCCCCCTCTCTCTCCCAATTTCCTACTCTATCCACTGTCCTGTCAAAATAATGGTAAAAGCACGCAAAAAAACAAATCTTTCTATTAAAAAAAAAAAAAAAAAAAAGGATGCTTTACAAAAAATTTGGGAATCAAATACAACTTATAATGTATGAACTGGTTCAGTACAAGCTCTGCTAAATATATATGCATCTTGTATTCATTTCGTGAATAACTGGTGCCGCATCAGGGCTTAGAGCTCACCTGCTGGGATGTTCTCCCAGTTAAGCCGCACATACCGGTCCCTGTCACTCCTCGTGATGGAAGCCAAGTGCATGGAGGAGCTCATGCTGAATGATCCCATGATCCAGACAGAGAAAGCACCTGCTTCCCTCCATCAATGCCAATGCTGGACCTGCACCTTATGGTTCAGTGAAGGACAGGAAGACATGGTTTGAATCCTGAAGGGCATGCTGTTTCTATTTCCCTGATTTTTCTGCACTCACCCACTTTCACTCTCAATGCTGAGGTAGTCAGACTGTCCCCGATAAAGAACAAAGCAAATGCAGGTTTTCTTGTGGAAATTTTTCTGTTATGATCTCCCAAAAGTAAGACCAGAAAAGAGGGTGGTGGGTAAAAAGGGGTATTTATTGAAGTGAGGCTGGTGAAGGCTGGTGAGGCTTGAATGAGAGGCTGGGTGGTGAGGCGCTGGAGCTTGTTGATTGGAGGCACTGGGGAAAAAAGAAGAAAAGGGATAATTAGTGACAGGTAATTTGAAAGCACAAAAAGTTTTACTGACTCTGAAAAGCCGATCGACCACTATGTAGGTGGCGATAATCTGGCAGTTTGGGAGAGGTGAACCAGGGTATAAATGCTGCAGCCGGTGATTACAGATGAGGATCAGGTGAGTGATTGCAGAGAGCTCCAGCAGCCAATAAGCCACGCCCGGCCTCTGAAAGAAAAAACACAAGCACCAAACCAAAAGCAGACCAGGAAAAACACACAAAAATGTCCAATCACCACAGTTTCCGTGGCTTTCTCTATTGTGGCCTTTTCACTGTCATCTGCAATAAAACCAAGACCAATGCTTATTCACATCAGTGACTTACTTAATTAATACTTAGTCAATGGAGACTTTAGAGCCTTTTTTAGGGACGCTTCAGCAGAGTGAAGGATAGTTAGTAAAATTAATAACTAGTAAAACACTAAATTATAAATAATAAACCCATATCAAGATGCAGAGGAAATCTCTACCTTCCTTTAAATGGTTAATGAACTCTATAAATACACCGTGCAATACCCTCACTAATTAACTCATTATATAAGCATTATTTAGTCTATTCCATTTTGTTTTACATTCTTAAATTATTTCTATACTTCCTACTTCTGTTTGTGTTTTAGAGCAATGGTACCAACTGAATTTCCCTCTGGGATTAATAAAGTATTTCTGATTCTGATTCTGATTATTTTGGTGAGATAATATTGAGGCATTTAACTTAAAATTGCATTTCAGTGGATGCAAAAGACCCAAATTACTTATTTTAGAAAATATTGATTGTTCAGTGAAATCAGACATTTAGCAGAAGGATTTAACACTTGCAAGGAACTCTATATGTCACAGTTCGTGATGGAGCTGAGCACCCTTAAAGGTGTAATCCCAAAATCACCCCTGATTCCTTCCCTTTATTTATTGGCTCTATATTTAGCTTAATTGTTAAGGATAATTTTATGAGGCTTACAAAAGTAATCACTGAGGCTATAGGGCACTTCAACCTGTCCATTGGAGGACTTTTTCCATTTGCAGTAGCTGCTCCAGCATTTCATGGCATTCCTCTTCTTTGAAAGAGCGACGTCACCTTCCACCAGATTGTGGTTTATCCCTGGAGTAAGTAGCATGGTTTAGAAACACAAATTCATATTGGAATGAAGTTGAGGATGTAATATCTGCCTATTTTTCATGAACAAATAGCGTACCTTTATTTGCCTCCAGAATTTTAGAAATGATGTCCAAACGGAAAGGCTCCTTGGTCTCCACACCTAGATTTATTGGATTGAGTTAGCAAACATGGCCGTCAGTTATATAGGCAAAAAGGTTAAAACAATCTGTGGGAGAAAATGAAGTTACCTTCCTCATTGTGTTGCACCTGCAGAGATATAATGAAAGTTCAGCCTTTGTGAATTCAGTTGAACTCAGTGCTCTTATGTGTATTATTGTCAAGATATTATTGCTTGTTATTCACGTTCACAACACAAATTATTATGAAAGCATAATAGAGAGACTGATGGATTTTCTTTGGCGGATGTCTTACCAGAGAATTGTTTTGAGATGAAAGACCCACCAGCAGGGCCAGGACCGCAGAGAGAAGACTATTGTCCTCATGATGAAGTTTTGTTTGGTTGGAGACTTTAGGCCCAGCAGTGACCACAAAGGCTGAAGTCTGGCTTTTATACAGCAAAAAGGGTGGAATAGTATACAAACTTACAGTGCAGCAAAACATACACCCCCTTAACAAATGCTTTAATGCAAAGAGGATCTCCAACAGGAAACTCCCTGAACCTTCTCAGGTGGCCTAAAGCTCCACATGTGAAGTGGTGTATGTTTGTTAATGTATTTGTATTTGTAATTAATTTCTTTGTCAGAAACTAATTATTAATTACAAATTCTCTATGGACAACCTTCCCACATTTTCCTAATTCAATACAGTGACACCTAAAATCACTGAGGATGTTTTAAAGAAAAATAAACAGTATATAAATGTTTACACTTCATATTTCTTTCACAGTGTTTCACAGTTGTGCCTCTCCTCTCTTCTTGGAAGAAACAGTTTGAAGTTACATAACATTGTTTTATGTTTTATTTGGATAGGACAGTGGACACGGTAGGAAGTCAGAGAATGAGTAATGACATGCAGGAAAAGAGCTGCAGTTTGGACTCGAACCCAGGCTGCCCGCTTGGAGGTTATAACCTCTGTACATGACATATGTATCACTGTTATAAAGAAATCTGTCCAAACGACTCTTTATATTAGATTATATTTATATACAAGCACTTCTTTGCGAGTTAGTTTTTCTCACATATACAATGTCCTTCCCCAGTTTCAAAGATGAATTAACAAAGAGAAATGTTAAAGTTAGTATTTTAGTCAAGATGTAAATCGTTTTACTATCTTAGGGACTGAATTTTTGTTTTGGTATCACCCAACCAAAGTCTGCCAATCGCCTCCACAACTTATCCATAACACACTTATTCCATTCCTACATGGCCTTAAGGTTTTGGTTCCTTGGCATACATCACATGGAAACTTTATTCTTCCATAGACCAACAACCACTTTTTACCCTCATTTGGTCATTCATCATGTCAGTGCTCGGTAATATGAGGCGGTCTGATGGGCTGGTCTAGTGTTTTTTAAGGCTTTGCCACTAAATAGCCCTAGCAGCTTAACTCACCCTACACTCCACCATTATTTAACCATTAGGATGACAATGTTTTCCACTTGTAAGCAGTTAACTGATGTAAAAAAGAGGGGAAAGCTTTCTGGGGTCCTCGGGCTCATGGGGTGCCCATTGGGGTTCGGTAAAACATGGTTTTCCTAAACTTGTGCAATCCTAACCATTTTTTTAAAACCTAAATACTCACCATTTCTTATTAGAACAACACAGAAACACATTTTATTCATCGTTGCCTCTTTCAAAATGTAAATCCTTTCTTTGTAAAAGTGTAGGAACCCTTTTTTAGTGACATTAAAGTTGTGGGCGAGCACATTAAACTTAGCTGTTAGCCCAGTATGTCTGGCTGAGGTGGATGTTAGCGACGGGGCTAACGCTACTGATCCAACACGCATGTGATGATATTATTTAATGATATCTTGGCCTTTTATGGGCCCAGTCATTTCTGTGAGGGGGCCTGATTATAAATATGGTTTAGGTTTCAGAGTGAGTGACAAACAAGT